GTAGTGAGGGGGGGGGGGGTGGGGGGGGGGGGGGGGGGGGGGGGGGGGGGGGGGGGGGGGGGGGGGGGGGGGGGGGGGGGGGGGGGGGGGGGGGGGGGGGGGGGGGGGGGGGGGGGGGGGGGGGGGGGGGGGGGGGGGGGGGGGGGGGGGGGGGGGGGGGGGGGGGGGGGGGGGGGGGGGGGGGGGGGGGGGGGGGGATGAAAAATGGCGTGAAAGACAAGTAATGGTCTAGGAGGTCTACAGCTCCAAAAAACCTTACAATATGTCAGAGAAAAATATTTTCGTTACCACTAAGAAGATTTCTTCGACTAGCCTTGATAAAAGAGAAAAACCATTCAGCATCAGACTGCTTATGAAAAAAGCTGGTTCGATCGTGATCAATTGCTTGCCGGTAAGGTCTGGGCGTGTAGGTTTTGGCAGCATGTTAGGAATTGCAGAGACCCCCCCCCACCACTCCTCCAAGAGAACCATTCTTTGGAGAGAGAAAGGGGCTACGTACCTCCTAATCAGGCATGTTGTCCTTCTCCACAGCATTTTACCTTGTAGGTCTTATTAGTAGTCGATCTATCGGGCCCAGTGCTTTGAAGGCAGGGTGTGTTGGCTAGGCGGAGAGGCATACGACTCACTACCTTTAGCGCGCTAGAGGGTATGCTGTGGCGCATTTTCACCTAAAGATGGTGGAGCTGCTGACCGAGCACCTACAAACAGGGCCCGAGTAAGGACGACGAGGGAAAAAAATCAGGATGTCAGAAATTCCTTTAGATGCTTCACCCTTTCCGAAGTTTTGTGGAACCCAGAAGGACATTAGGCAACTACTCCCTTGGAAAGTGAACGGGCATACCTGTGCATGCATCGTTTGCTATGTAGGTAATAGAGACCGAGGGCAACGTCGAACGCGTAGGAACACTTGTCGGGAATACTGACCTAAATGGCAGCTGCTGCATTATTATTTGTTTACTTGAAGTCAAGCTCTGCTTTGAACGCATTTTTCCTTACAGTATTCTTCTTCAGGTAATGATCAAGGCCGCCTCCATTTACCATTTCCATTACAATCATCACATTGTCATTTTCCATAACCATTCCAAAGAATCCCACTACGTTTCTGAAAAGCCCTTGCCACTAAAAAGCTCCCAAGAGTTATGTTAGCAGTAGTCATAGACCATACATGTGTTGATATTGCCGCATTAGCCTGGCCTCTTTGTACAGCTCCTGCATATACTTCTTATTGTCTTCCTTTAGCTTCGTCTGGAATACATTGAACTGACAATAGGCACTACTCGAGACAACCGTATGTAGATTAGCGGTGGTATGTAGAAGAAACCGCTTCGAGCACCCCAATGCTGCCGAAGAAAGCCCAAACACGCTCAAGAGCCGACAAGGGATGCACTTCTGGTGGACGCTTTTTCATATAAAGACGCTTGTACACAGCCACTGAAATCGACACCACTGACTGCTGTCGCCTGTCCGAGTCGCCTATTTCTTTCCGAGCATCACACATCATGTACTTATGTGCATGCTAGCTGACGCTGTATCAGTGGCAGGAAAAAAGTGGATACGGTCGATTCAACCCTACACCCATTGTTAGATCGCCCGCGCTAATGGCGGTGCGTTGGCGACCGCCGCAATGACACGCCGCGTAGAGTTGTCTGTCTCAGATGGCTTCCTTTTTTCAAATCTATGAAAGGCTGTCATGGAACGACCCACGTCCTGACGACGTCACTAAATCTTTGGCGTCCTCGACCAGCATCCTAACGTGTCGGACCACTTCGGCCCTCAGTAAGAATGTGGCCGAGGGACGCCTACATCTAACGCGAGATTCTTTGCTCCAGTGACGCCTCCATTAGATACGTGCAGCGCCTACTTTGACAATTCGTGGCGCCGCATGTACGGAGCAGGCTGCGTTTATACTTTGCGGCAGCGTAGCGTAGCGCTTCCAGCGTACGCCAGCGGCAGTGCCGAAGAGAGGATGCATATCGATCTAGCTTCACCAGCGTCACCAGCGGCACGCTGGCGTAGCGAGGGCACGGGAAGCATAGCTATCGATCTAGCTTCACCAGCGTTTCTCGAGCGTTTCTCCAGCGGCACCAGCGTTTTGCTAGCGCTTGCAGCGGCAGGGAGTATGTATGCCGCGAGAGACGCGGAATCGACGTGTATTGTAGAGACCATGTTTCCGTCGGAGACGCAGAACGGATGTTGCATCGTCAGAGCACTATGGGCTGTCGGAGAACGACGCAGAAGCGATGTGCATTGTAGGAGACTATGTGGCCGTCGGAGACGCAGAAGCGATGTGCATTGTAGAGACTAAGGCGAGTGAGAGACGCGCAATCGATGTGTTTTGTACCCTCCAGCTCTCCCATAGTCTCTACTCCCCTGCCGCTGCAAACGCTAGCAAAACGTGTCTCGTGAAACGGCTGGAAAACGCTGCGTACGCCAGCGTGGCCGCTGATGAAGCAGATCGATATGCATCCTTGTCGTTCGCACTGCCGCTGGGCGGTACGCTGGTGGAAGCGCTACGCTATGCCTTGCCCGCCAAAGTTATAAACCGCAGACGAGAGTGGCGTGACCTGACTAGCTCACGACAGAATCGACCGCCCATCTTCCGGAATAAGTAGAGAAGACCATACATTGAAGGATTCTTTCTTCCACATAGTTTCTGGTCTTGCATTAGAAGCAAAAACCAAAAAGGCATTGCATGTGCTGACAGCAAAAACAAAACGTAGGAGAATAGATCAGCGAGCGAGAAGAAAAGCATGGTCCCATACAAATACGGTGGCGATTTTACGGATCAGCGTGACACTCCCCAGCTCTCGATGTAGTTAGTGCTGATAAGTGCTGTTTCTATGCTAACGACTGCTTCGGAGCTCTCGTCACTCGCTTTCGAACTACAACAGCGGCACGGCCTTCAAGATTGCTGACCGAGTCACCTTTTCAAAAGATTCCTCATAGAAGGGCCATCAAGTCCCAGAATCCCAGTAGCTTTGCCACGCATTTCCGAGTCATGGAGACAGGTTATCCTTTGCGGCTCACGCACACAGAATCCGATTTAGGTCAACTGGTTATGCGCTGTTCCTTCAATAAGGCGGTCGAAACAGTTGTAAGCTCTACAAGCCCTAGCTGGCCGTCCCGCTGGCTGTTATTTCGAACCATATTCTGTGGATAGGGTATAGAAACCGTTGCGGTCTACTGAGGCGACTTTCACGTTATGGCTGATGCGCGCGAAGGACTGCTGACTACTGTTTGCACCCAGAATCAATATCAGTTACATGCTCTTGCAAAATAATGGCTGAGACTCAGATGGAGATTTGAAGTAGTCGAAATTGGTCTAGATTGGGACAAGCCCACGAAAGAAAGCTTTGTTCTGAATAAAGTGCTCTTTTGATGGTGGTACAGTCGTTCTCATTGAAGTCAGTCGGGCGCGTTAGCGTATGACAGTTGCAGCTTCTGATGTTCAGTAAGTGGTGAGAAAAGGGCTGGCGCCGCGTCAAATTTCACTGCGACTGACTTAAACGATAATGACAGTAGTGGCAAGGCACATATCCTCATCCGTTCGTTCACCACCAAGTCATTTTTATCAAAGTGTTCTCATTGACTGCAAAATAGAATAAAATGCTCACCACTTTAATTGCTGCTGGTATTGATTGTGTTGCTGATTTCCGAAATGTTCCCCGCCATACTTCTCCGAATGCACCTTCCCCAAGTTTCGAAAGTAATTGGATTTTGTCCTTTGTTAATTCCCAAGGTTGTTTTGGTATAGGTTTCACTAGTAATGCCTCATCCGGTAGCGGTACTTTCTGTTCATAGTGTTTTCTGAATAAATAGGCTCAAAAATGACTTCAATGACACATTCCACCTGGTAATCAAATCTTATAGCCTGGATCCTAGATGGAGTAAGAACCCATCAAGTACACACGCTGTAGCATAAGGAACAACATGTAGTGAGAGAGAATTTTCAACTCACTGAATAAGGCCAACAACTGTTCTTCCTTTGTTTGTACCATCAATAGTGAATGCTAAAGCATCCGCTAACTGGACTGTATGAATTGGGTAGTCTCTCAACTGTCCCTTGAGACGAACGGTTAAACATGGCTGAAAAGGTAGGTACTAGCAGCTAGCACTGACTATGGATCCTCAATGATATGCTGTGCGCTGAATTACGAAAGAGTCAGAATCACGTGCTCGGAAATGAAGCTGGAGGCAGTGGTGGCTGGATGTCACCCGGAGCTGCACCCGCAGACCGAACACGCAGCACGAGACACGCCGCACTAACAGCCTTATACATACCTAGCCTAGACAAGCTATCGGCCCTACCCCTTCCGGGCTCCGTGGAAAAACCCACCCACGCGCGTATGCGGTTTTTTGACGTCACCGCAGGGCGGAGCGAGAGGCGATGGTCTGCACCTCCGCCAATCCAATCAGCATGGGGAAGGAAAAGGAGGGGGGAAAAAAGAAAGCGAAAAGAGTATTGAACAAATAATGGATGCTTACAGGTGAGTTAGTGGTAGTAGTGAGCAGAGAATACAGAAAAGTTGACTATCAAGGCGTATTACTTGAGTCCATGGCAGAGCTGGCGAAAGGCTCCATTCTC